AAATTACAAATAGCTGCTAATGATTTCTGTTAACGAGCTTGTTCTACAATTATTAGATAGTGTTTCCAAAATACTTGATAGGTTTGTTACCCATCTGCTCAGGCAAGGCTATATTTTGATTTGGAACTTCTTATATGCAAACCACAGCCCTTCCACCCATAAAAGCTCAAGAGGTTGTTTCTTTAGCCCAAGGGTGTTTCTTTAGCTAGGCTTGATATATCGTTCTGGCTTGGTCTAATCATACGATATTTTTGCCATCCCTTTTACATAGCAAATAGATTAACCAATGACTTTCAAAATGATGAAAAATCCTTTCTGTCTCCTGATTCAACAGCAAAAGTAGACAGCTTAAGAAACCTGGAGAATGATGCCTGCTATTTTATTTTCTGCTTTCTGTTCAACTGGGAACATTTCTCTTCTTTTGTCACTTGACAAAACAAATATGCTCCCCTCAGTACTCAGCACTTGCCTGCTTTATGTGTGTGTAGGCAGCTCCCCTCGGAGTGAACACTTCACTCTCCGTTTTTGGTAAGCTGTGTCTCGTCCTTGCAAATACTGAAAACTCACCAAAATGATTTGTGCTTCCTTTCCACTTGATGACATTCCTGAATATTTTGCTTATGTTCATCCCATCTCTTACTTCCATAGTGTTGCTGGCGCAAAACTTGTGTATGAAATCATTGCAAACAGCACATTTATACCAGGGCAGCCAGGCATGCAGCACTGACCCTAGGGCTGAATGATGAAATGAACTGTTTAAACTTGGAGTAAAACATTCAATATTATTAACAATTTTTTTGGTGTGTTTATGCAGGGTGAGACAGGCAATGGACATCTAAGGCACTGCTTTCTGCATCTCCAAATATGTATCATTGACGAGAAGGTCTCCATTCAACAGTTTCCTCTTCCCTTCCAGATCCTGTGGCATAAGTTCATGGTGCTGGGTGGCAAACATATGGATAGAGTGTCCCCATAAAGAGGGGACAGAACCTCTTGGTTCAGCTCTTAAATTCCATGAATTTCATATGGGAAAAACAAACAAACAAACAAACAAACAAAACAAAAAAACAACACAACAAAACAAAAACAAACAAACAAGCAAACCCAAAAGAAACAACAATAAAAACAACCCTAGCATTCCTGCTTGTAAAGGCTGATTGAACCCATTGCACTTTAAGACAAATCCATTAAGGACAAAATCATTGATACAGGGAACAGCTGAAGAGGAACCACAGTTAGAAACAACCACAAGAAGCGGCCTTGGTGCACTGACCTACAGGTTAGATTCTAACTGTATAATTACAGAAAAGTCATGGTCTCTTCTTAAAATGCTCCTCACAGCACACAGCATTTGCTGGCTTAGCATTCTGCCATCTGTCAGGGAAAGTCCTGATGCATTTGCCTCTCCTGATACCTTTGGAGAGGTATTCCCTATGGAAGGCATGAGGAGCTGGTGAACATGCAGACTGTGAGCATGCTGGCAGTAGAGCTCCATCACTTTTGGCTAGAAAGGACAAGAGTCATTTAGAGATAAGGACTCCCTCTGAGATTCAGGGGTAATACAGCCTGGGACATCTAGGAATCATAGCATCATGAAAAATCATAGCATCATTCCTAAAGGCTTGTCCCTGTACATTTGGCTCAGTTTTTCTTTAAATGTACTGCTTCTTAGGAAGACAAACGAGCCTCTTGCTGTTTGCAAGAATATGGTGGCCTTAGGAGATAAAGCAGAGTTGGGAAGGTTTTCCTTCCATGTACAATAAATATCTTAGACTGCATGAGTCTGAGCCAGCAACCTGAATCTCAGCTGCTTACTAATAAGATAGTGTTAGTCCACTGTAACTGTTTTTGCAATCAGTTTTCTTTGATCACTAATAGTAATATTTTCTTATCATCAATGTAGGAATCATGAGATTATTCATATCTATTTATGTTTACATACGTCTATGTTTGTGTGCACATGTGCATGTGTGTAGATAATACTTTTGCAAAGCCTACATGTACATTATTTAAACTAATTTTAATATTTAAGTAAATATTAAAATAGAAGGTTTATTTTCTTTTTCTCATACATAAGCTCTCTGATTTCTCCCAGTCAGGACACTGAGATATTTAACATCCACCTCTATTCTACCCGGGCAAGATCTCCACTTGCAGCTGCCCGCTCTTTACCTGGGGCTCACCTCCTGGCCTGAAGGAGCAGGAATCTGTCCTGAGCATGACTGAGTGCAGTGAGGCTCCAGGCAGCCCCACTTTGTGTGAGCTGTGGCTTTAGCATTATTTCCAGAGTGGATGCTGTTTAATCACCTTTCAGTCAATACTCGAAGGTTGCTCTCTGCTTAAGCTAGGCACACACCTCAGAAGAGATATATAGAGCCATTATTTTAAAGCCAGTTGTTCACTTTTCCTTGCACAGACAAAATAATAATAATAATAAAAAAAAAAATGTAAGGAACAAAATGTGCTTAGCTGTTTTTGTAGATATATTTTTGAAGAGTGTAACTCAAATGCTGTGGAAACTTAAGGCACCTGGCTGGAAAACAGAGCAACTTTGTGCTGCCTTCAAAATCCCTGCGCTTTTAACTCTTGTATTAACTTTTCTGCTTCTCCAGCAGATATTGATTCTGTCAATTCTCATTTCAACCAGGCTGCACATGGGAGTAAAGTAAGGTCTGAGCAGATGGCTGACATGAAATGAACAGCAAATTATTGCACAACTGTAGGAAATTCAGTGCATTCTGCAAAGCCCTAAGTCAACATTCATTACAGATGCTAGAGCAACCAGACTCGAGCGACCCTTGAACATGTAGGAACAGACATAAAAGTATACAGCCTGAAGACTGAAATCCTTATTTCTATGAACAGAAATACTTCAGCAAGATTTCTATTGCTTGAACTTCTTGTTTCTCTTGTGAGAAAGAAATATTGTCAGCATACGTAGAGGGACCATGGAGAAATCCAAATTCTGCCTGTTCCCTAGCAAAGCTAGGGCAAGATTAGGCACCTGCCTTGATAACAGGAATACCTACAATCAGCATAGATGGAGTAAAAACATTTGTGCATACATAAAGGGATTTCTAGTCTTATAGTTTTGGGTCACAAGCTAATTAATAGCTGACAGGGGGTGGAAAGAAGCCTTCTTTCTGGACAAATCATTGCATGACTACCCTGGGGGACAGTTCTTCAACTACCTGTCCCCTCCAGAGATGGCTTTTCTCAGAGATGGAGGACTGGACAGTGAGGGCTGTATGGGGTAGAACTGGCATGGTAGTCCCTTATAAATTATGGCTCTGATGAATAAAAATCAGTAAAAACTGTGGTCTGCTCATCAGGAGACTGTGTTGTGGTTGGCATCTAGCTCAAATGGCTACATCCCACCTGTGTAACACCCCTTTGCTCTTCTGGGTAGGAAGAGAGAGGGAGAGCATCTTTTCTGGCTATCTGTGTTTTTTACATCTCTATATAACATGCTGCCTGATTTCGGTGGTGACTGAAGTCTTGCCTGAGCCAGAATTTGCCTAGCAGTTGCTGAGTTTGCAGCACTTTGAAAGCAAAAGGGTGAAAAGTGATGAATGGGGAGCAAGATGCATTTTTTTCATTAACAGGAAAATTAAGAAGTTGTTGAATGGTCTGGTAGTGCAAAATCCAAATGACAGGAGTTCTGACCTGAAGTCTTCCCTGTGCAGAAAAGGATAACTCAATATTGGAGCCATGGGTATTTTACTAAGGTGGATTAATGGACTACACTGAGTCTTTAGCTCTTCCTTAACAATACAGTGTCAGATACCATTAGTCAGTAATTATTAGCACTCTTGGCCTACATTCATGCTTAGCTGTCTATGTATATTCTGTAAAACTGTATCTTCTCCACTTTCAGCCTGATGAAAGATGCTTTCATTTGCAGGCAGAGCTGAGTCATCACACTTCAAACAGAGAATGAAAACGCCTGGGCTCAACACAGAGATCACTGCCTGTTCCCTCTAAACCTTCCTAGCCCAATAGGCACCAAAGCATCCTGTACCCATTGCAGGCTTTTAAGAGACAGGCAGAGTGATCAGGGCATGATAAGCTGGATGGCAGCTTTAACCCTCCCTATAGGTTTGCAGTCCTAGGGACTGGCATGGTTCTCAGCCTGTTGGCGCTGCTCTTTACTATAGCAGTTGTCAGAGAAGTCCAGGATGTGGGCATATGTCATACCAGCATTTCAAACAGCTACATGGATTTCTTCCCAGAGGGGAAATGAGATGGAATAGAGGATTTCCTGAGATGGAACCAGGTCTGCAAAATAGCCACAAGCTTACTAGTGAACTTCCACTTACATAGCATATGTAACAGCCCCTGCTCTGGAGGAAAAAAAATGGGCCAAACTGTACATGTGCCATTTAGAAAAAAAAATAAAGTGAGGAGCCAGCTTACTCAGTGCTGATCTTCACGATAATTCACCTTTTCACACACTGCATCTTCAAAAAGTTGGGGAAGGCATGAGACAAATGTCTGTGGCTCCTTGACTCTGACATTTCCTTCCCTTCTGAAGACCCTACAGGGACCACTAAGTTTTCAGCAGTGGTTGGGGAGAAGACGAAGTGGGGTATCTGGAAAACACTGGAGGTTTTAGCAGGAGGAGAATTTGTTTCTTTGTTGGGTTGCTCATTTTGGAAGAGATTTACACTCACTATTCTTGTACTTTAAAGGAATGAACAATTAAATACAGTGCATGTGATCCCACAGGATGATCAGGTTTTATGAGGAAGGAGGTGCTCTCCAGCACTCCCACTCCTGTTACCAGGGACATTGTTCAGATATGTTGGAAAGGTTGAAGTACATCATCCAGGACTGCTCTGGCACACAATGAACTCCAAAGATAATCACTCAAATGCTTGTAAATATGAAGATGATTTACCATGAGGTCAAAAAGAAAAGTTTAAAATAAGAGCTTAGAGATAGGCCTTCTATGAATACATTGCCATTATTAAAATCCACAGCTGGCTGTTAGAGTTGAGAGCAGTTAAATTTTGACACTTTGGAAGGAGAGCTGGTACACCTTGGAATGGCACTCCCACTGCTCAGCACCAGGCAGAGTTGTGCTCTGCCAGCTCCTGGGAGTGGAGCCTAGGCCTCCTGACAAATAATTTTTCATGCAAACTGGACAGACTTTGGGTTATTTGAAATACAGGGGTAAACTCCCATTTTAACTTCTAAGCAGCAGCTGCTTCGGGTTTATCTTTAATTCTTAGATTGCTTTGAAATGATCTTTGGTATAACAGAGTAGTAGAGAGGATTTTTAGGCCTTTATTTCACCAGAGACAAAGCTTGTGTGATTGTATTTCCTCTCGTTGTCAGCCTTTTCCTCCTGGTACTTCTCAAATTCGTCTTTTTGATGAGTCTTGACAAAGACTCAAAGACTTACCAGGGGAGCCTGGTAAGTGTCAGTAAGTTTCAGACAAGCAAAGAAGAGAGAGGGCAGTCCATCTCACCACCTTCATCACTTCTCACAGCCCTGGTTTCCTTCAAAACTCGAGGAAACTAAAAAGTGACATTTATATCTTGTGTTCTAGAAAGGAATCAAGTTCAGAGGAGCAGTTCCTTGAGCATTCAAGACACCATAAAAGAAGGATATTTCAGGCTCTTACTGCACCCAGAGAGGTGGCTTCTTGTTCCACAAGCAAGAAATGGTGCGTAAGGTTAATTTGTTTTTAGCTGCAATGCTGACTGCTCCCAAGCTTTTATTGCCATCATTCTGCCCACAGAACGATGATTTAACATGACTCAAACAGCAACACGATCGAGCCAGACTCATGGCCACATCTGCAGCAGTGCTGCCTCCTTTGGGTTCATCATCTGGGTGACACTGGACTACACTGAGCACCCCGTCAGCTCCCTACTCACCTTCCCATGTCCTCCTTCAAGAAGTACAAGGGCCTCCCTTTGCCCCAGGGTGCTGTAAGCCCCAGGAGCTTGCTATCAACACAAAGCACACCAAAAAGACCATGATGTGGTACATAAGTATCTCCAAGCTGGTACCAAGAAGTACCAAAAATCTCTTTTGTCCATCTCTTGGTCCATAACGTATGCAGGCTGAGTTGTCTGCAGCATTGCAAGGTCTCCAGGATATGTCTGTGCAAAGGAGTTTGGGTCCCACAGCCACAGCTGTTACCGTGCCATTCAACTGAGTCCAGTTTTGGCAACCTGCTGAGGGTACCAGGAGTCACCTCCCAGCAGGGCTCATTGCAGGGAAGGAACTCTGCATTCCCTTGTCCCTTTGGTCCTCCTCCAGCCCAGAAGTTTTTCTCCAAGGAGGCAGGGGAGTCACAAGAAGGTCCTCTCTAAAGCAATGCTCTGCTACAGTGATGGTGTTTTTCCTTGCCAGGGCATCGTGCCCAGGCAAGGGGATGCCTCAAGTGGATCCAGGTGCCTTACACAGCTGAGGTATTTGTGATTCACTTATACATCTTTCCAAGGGTGATTGTAACGAGGCTAAATTCACTCCCTGCCCTCCTCTTTTAGCATTGTCTGTTGTGATGTGCACCCTGCAATTAGGACCCACCACAATCACTCCTGGCCCTATTCATCATGCGCGGAGCAGAGCTGGAAATAATGACGCCAGCACAGGAAAGCTGAAGTCAGCAGAAACATTTCAGGGAGCAGAAATTTCCCCTTGCCTTTCTGTCCTCAGACTTGGGTCCCACTTGGGACCGCAGGGCGCCCAGGCAAGCAGCCAGCACCGCTGCCAGCTCTGCAGCTTTGCTCCCCACCCCAGGCGTAGCAGGAAACCTGCCCTGAGCTCAGGAGCTCACAGCTGACACACAGAGCTGAAAGGAGCTTGGAAAGCAGAGATTAATCCCTGGCACAGGCGTGTTTGACATTCCAGTGCTATTAAATCCGTCGGATATAAAAAGCACCGGGTTGTTTGGTTATTCTGCGGGTGAGCCCAGCGAGCTGGGTTTCTTCGTCGTGGGAACTGGAATGCTGTTGCTTTCTGATGCCATGACTCACTGTTTTATAACTCTGTTTAATCATCATTTCTTTGCTTATATCCTCACTGCATGTGCTTGGGTCAGAGCTGGGCAGCGTGAACGTGATTTTATTCCTCGTCTGGATTCCGTCATCAGGAACAGATATTTTTAGCCTGAGCTGCACTGCTGCTATTCTTAGCAGCTCGACTGGAGCCTCTTCTGCACTCTCCTGTCTTCTCCCCCTTGTGACTCCTGAGGCTTTTTACTTTCTCTCTCCCAGAGCTTGCTAATGAGGATATTGGGAATATATCACTGCTAGCAGGGGAGGGAGTGTCTTGGGATTGCAGGCATAAAAAGGCATAAAGAATTTTATTTTTTTTTCACACGATGCCCTAGGCCCCAGATATTATAAAAATGAATATGCTCAAGATGTTATGTAGGAAACCATCATCAATGAATTACTGTGGGGGAGGGTGTTTACTTTGAAAATAAATCTGTCCCCCTTTTCTTTTGTCATTCTCTGTAGCCATGTAGGATTTGGTCTGGACTTGCTTTGATTAAGAATAAAAAGGGGAAATACATACAGCTCCTGACCTCTTGCACTTGGATGGTGGAAGATGAAACAAAGCACAGGTGAAACGATGAGAGATCCCTCAAGGCATCAGCACCACCATCAAACCCAGGGCTTCTCAGCTGGGGATGAGGCTGCCTTTGCACTGTGGCTACAGTTCTTGCTGAGAGAAATTCTCTCATTTTCCCTCATTCTGTGCAGCCTCCTGAGAGAGCTGCTCATCTGAGATTGTGCTGTAGGGGGGAAAAAAAAAAGAAAATGAGCTGATAACGCTCCTTATTTTCCATTCTCTTCCAACAAAAGATATTAAACTAATGCCAGAAGTTACAATTTGAAGCCTTAATTAATTGTAAGAGGTTGACTTCCCTCATTTAAATCACCTAATGATTCAGCATTAGGGCAATATATAGAATCATAGAACCATAAAATGGCTCAGGTTGGAAGGGGCCCTAAAGATGATCTGGTTCCAACCCCCTCCTATGGGCAGGGACACCTCCTACCAGACCAGGCTGCCCAAAGCCCCATCCAGCCTGGCCTTGAGCACCTCCAGGGATGGGGCAACCACAGCTTCTCTGGGCAACCCGTGCCAGTGCCTCACCACTCCCAGAGTGAAGAATTTCCTCCTAATCTCTGATCTGAATCTCCCCTCTTAGTTGAAAACCATTCCCCCTTTTTCATTTCTTTGTCTGCACAATCAAGATGTTGCTCTCCATCTTTTTCCTTTAAAAAGCCACAATGAGGTCACCCCTGAGTCTCCTCTTGAAACTGTTGATGAGATTTCAGTGTCTCTGTAGGCTTGCTTCCCACTGTGACCCTTCCTAGCCTGCGATCCCCTCCATCAGCTGTACTATTTCAATGTTTGAAGCATCACAAAAATCAGTGATTTTCAGCTGGTGTTTGGCTATCCAGCCACTTAGATAAGAAAAAGGCAGGATAAGAGAGATAAACCCAAGGGCTTTTGGGGCTGTGCTGTGACATGACAGATTTCGGTCACTTACGCACAGGCACAGCATCCTGACGTTAGTCTCAGCTGGATGTGGCACGGGAAACGGGCTTCTCCTGGGGCTGCAGCATGGAAATAAAAGGAGAGATGCTTTCCGTGCTGAGTGAGTGCTGAGCCCGTGTCCTGGCACACAGCTGGGGAAAGCAGGCTTAACGAGCTGTCTCAAAAACTCAGCTTCCACTTGGAAAAACAATTAACAGAAAAATTGCAGCCAGCCTTAAAGAGAAAATGCATATTAATGCTGCTACCCTCTACTCCTACTTTCCTCCCACGGAGCCTATAGTGAAAGCAGTGGGCGTTTGTAACTACTGAGGGCGGCCTCAAGCGGCCCAATTTTGGAGCTCTGCACTCTCTTATGATCCAATGACCAAATTAAACATAGCTGGGGACATACCATGTCCCAGCTGTGCTCTAGAGCATGCACTAGCTGATGATCTCCAAGCACAGGTTCATCTTTACTGTCTTTGCTTTTATTGTTATCCCCCTCTGACCTTATCAGCCATACCCAGTGCTTCATACACAGACCACACAGCACTGGCAAGAGTTGCAAATGCAGGTGAGAATTTGGAAAGATAGAGATTCATTTGGAGGAGTTTGGAAAGTATTCAGCAAGCAATATGTAGACCCTCAGGAAGTTTTGATGAATGATAATTATTTTTAGCTGTGAAACGGCACTTCAGCATTAGAGCTGCAATGGCTGTAATTTTAATTTCTTAATTAAAAGGTACACATAGACTTTTCTTTATAGTCAGCCTCGTGTAGAAACTTCTGAAGCAGCTTCAGGGTACTCCTGATAATGCCTGAAAACACGTTTCTCCATTGCAAAGCAAGAAGGGTGAGTTACTTGGGACAGAGCAGGAGAAAGCATGGAAATCCATTTTGGCTGTTTCTTATGGATTAATTATTATCTCCTATTCCATAAGAAATTAGGATTTGAAAGCATGCTCAGAAAACTACTTCTTTCTCTCATCTCTTGAATGCAATGATAAAGTTCCCCATAAAGGGGTAGAATTGTGCACTTAATGAAAATACACCGGTTTGGAAAATATAATTTCTTTGGTCTGGCCACCAGTATAATATTCTTGCTGAGGCAGCATGCTGCTGTAAATCATGTCAGTAGCATTGAGTGGCAGGTTTACTGCTTCTTTCCTTCTCCAACAGAGAATTGAGCGTTTCAGAACAGAGACTTGCCCTAATTACATGTTATTTTATGTGAATTGAAAGCTTGTTCTCCCTTTTTTTTTCTAATCAATAAACAAATTTGGTTGCTTCCAACTTTGGCCTTCAGTTGTCACTCAAATTGGGATGATTCCTCAAAGACTGCAAATTCAACACTTTGCCTTCCAACCCTTTTGTGGCTTTCAGCCTCACTCATTTAATCTATCATCAGATGATACAGACAGTCCTTTTCTGCCTCTACCTCTTACTCACTTCAAATTTTGAGTCCTTTTCCCCCAGAATTATCTTGAAATCCAACTTCAAAGTGTCAAGGTGCTGCCAGAGTTATCAGGGCAGTGAATAAACACTGAGCAAGGTGTTCTCCAAAAGGACTGATGGGTTAAATATACTCACCTGCAATACACCAATATGTGTATGGAGGTCAGGTCACCCAGTCTCCAAAAGGATGCAGTACAACTTGAAACAGAACTGAGGAAGGCAACAAGCATGATTTCACAGCTCTGGTATAAGGAAAGGCTTTAATAGGGACCTCGGTCTGGAATTAAAACAACAGAGAGGGGATGTGACTGAGGTCTGTAAAAATATATATATATAGGAGAAGGTGGAAAGGAAAGAGTATTCGTTATTTTTCATAGTACAGACAATTCATTACTTTTCATAATACATAGGAAGAATCCAATTAATTTAGTAGGTAATGTGTTTAAAACAAAGGAAGGGATGTACTAGTTAACAGCAAGTACAACTTCACGGTTGGGCTTCTTAGAGGAGGTCAAATGTTAAAAACAGGCTCTGAAAGGGAACAGATAAATTCAGGTAATAGTGGGTTATCCCTAGCCATTAATCACAGTTATCTGGATGAAGTTTTTGTCAAAGAGATGATGAAAATACTAATTAAAACAGATTACAATTATTTCAGGTGGTTATTATGGCCTGGCCAGTCTGGCTCTGAGGACTAACACCCATAAGCACCAGGAGATGCTCCTGGAGCACAACTCGCATTTTGTTTCAGCTGAAGGAAGCCCAGGTCCTGTCCAGCAATGCTCTGAGACACAGACTGAAGCACAGTAAGCCAAGAGGATTGAGGGATTTGTTTCTAAAGTGCACTCGTGATCTGATCTGCAATGCACATGAAGGCTCATTATTACTCTGTTAGGGACAAGAGAGTTCCTTGACTTCAGTGGATTAATTTTCTTTCAAGGGGGAAGTGGGAGCTAGATTATCCTGTTCTTATTACTATGCAGATGGGATAGAGGCACAAAATCTATTTGGTGATATAAATATAGGAAATGGCCAAAAAATACAGTGACACCATAAAGCATCCATAGAGGTGAGCTAAAGGTGACCACGTAGGAAATAAGTTTGGGGTGGAAAGTAAGTTTGGCTCTCAAGGGTAGAAAATGGATTTTCTTCTCATGGCTAACACAATGGTTTGAAATTTTGTTGCTGCAGGGACCTGTTTTCACATTGTATGCCCTTTCCTCCTGATCAAACAGCAGAAATCCTAAGGGTCATATGAGTGTTCACCAGTTCACATTGGCTGAGGATTAGACTCGAGGTCTGCATTTCCTTGTTTTCAAGTAATGCAGCACATAAAAGCTGCCTTGCTTTGATATACCAGAAAAGGGGAAATAAAACAGAGGAATGTGGAAATTATGAGGTTTGATCCTTTTTGATGCAAAAGTATACTGCTGTTTTCACAACCGTCCTGCCCTTCATGTCCTAGCATATAAAAAAAAAAAAAAAGATGATGATGAAATTTTATTTCTCTTCAGCTACCAGCCTCCGGTCTCGAAAGGGTAAAGCTCATGGTTTAAGATGCAGAGAATTTGCTGATTCTTATGGTGGTCATCCTGGTTCCCAGGTGGTGTTATTTGGGGAATTTTATTTCCAGATGATATTTATAATAATTTCATCCTTTCTGTTTTTAAAAGTCTCTCTCTTCCCTTATTGCATGACAAATTGAAAACACATCAGAACAAGCTGTACAGGCTCAAGCAGCAGAAAGCTGAAAGAAAAATATGTTAAAATATTTATTAAAGCCTTAACAGGATTACATCAGTGACTGAATTTTTTGGCATGAGCAAGGATTTTAACTGCAGTTGCTCATTTCCACCTCACCTGGGAATGCTTTGTGGCATCATGCATTTGTACAAAACATGAATTCTCACTGGCATCTTATTGAATTAGCTGTTAATTAACTGATCACTTAACATGGAAATCATATACTAAAAGCATGATAGTATTATTCAGTTGAGTACTACACATAATTTTGTGTTACGTTGATGATTTTCCTAGAGAAATATTAGGACACAGGTACAAGGTACGAGCAACATATTGAAAAGCAACAACAACAAAGCAAACAAAATTATAATTTAAGAAGCTACTTTGGAGTAATAGAAAGGTAAAGAAAAGCAAAGGAAAAACAGACCACAAGGCAGACCTGTTAGACTCGTAGCTGCTTCTCAGCAGGCAATCAGTCAGCACTGGGTTTATGTGGGAAGGGTTTGGTAGCAGGGAGCTCAAGGGGTGGCTCGAGCAGAGCCCAGCAGCTGCCCCATGTCAGATCAGAGCCAGCTCCAGCTGCTCCAAAAGGGACCTGCTGCTAGCCAGAGTGTTTTTAGTTTGCTTTTAGTTTCTCACTGTTCTAGTCCACTAGTGATAGGCAATAAATTATATTAATCTCCCTATGCTGAGTCTGTTTTGCCTATGATGATAATAGTTGAGCGATATCTCTGCCCTTATCTCAACAAGTGAGCCTGTTTTTTTCCTTTCCAGCATACTTTCTTCACTCCCTTATCCCCTCTTCTTTTGAGGAAGGGGAGAACAGAGCAGTTGTGGTGGTGTTTAGCCACCCAGCAGGGTAAAACCACCACACAGTCAAAAAAGAAAACATGAGATTGTTTATGAGATGCAGTATTCAGGGAAAAAAAAAAAAAAAAAAAAAAAAAAAAAAAAAAAAAAAAAGAAGCTCTGTTCCAAAAACAGATTGTGGTATGCAAGGAAGGAAAGTATCAGCATTAATTTCACTGGGGTAGTGATGTTCAGATCCATGGGTCATTCCAAGTTCATGTTAACCTCTAGAAGTCAGCAATGTCAGAATTTTACAGCTCTTTACCAGGGAGAGACTGATACCAAGCTCAGCATACATCCTGACTGAATTCTGTAATAACTCCTTCAAAGCATCAGGTATGTTTTGAGGTTCTTATGAATTTGTTTTTACAAGCCCCTACCAGGGAAAAAGCTATTATCATTGCCATTTTGCAGGGGGGTGTCTGTGGCATAGGCAGATGAAGGACTTAACCACACAAGTGGCTACTGTTTTAGCACAGCCATGCTCCTTTTTCATACTTGGCACCTGTAGTAAACACGATGCAGTTTGTTTTCCTTTGATCCTGAGATGCTTCACTGGAATAAGTATCTTGCAAAGTTATATTATTACACATAAAGAAACCAAGACAAAATAGTTCAGCAGTCAAATAAAGCTAAAATTCTTCTGTTAAATTCAGAATTGCCTTAGCCAAAACAACTGGACAGTATCTAGAGGGGGAAAAGTTACTTCCAGTGCACTGAGTTACCGGTGGCTGAGAACCACTCCCAGTATGACAGGCCAGGGGTGAGCTCAGCCTTACAAGAATTTCTCTGAAAACTAAGAAGGCCCCGGGGGCCTTCTAGCCATCAGTGAGAGTTACGTGCCTCAGACCCTTGAAAATAGGGGTCCTGACTTTTTCCAGCAGTGAGGGTTAAAAAAAAAAGTACATCTAATTGAATCCTGCCTTTTCTCTGTCTTTTCTTCCATTTGCCTTACACATATTGTCATGCCTTGTTGGGTTGTGAACCAGTTGGTTTGTGATGCACAGGGCAAAACTGAATACAAAATAATCTTTCACTGCTTTCTGTAAGGTTATTTATGCATTGCTTTCAAAAATTAAGGGAGAGATTCACCTAACTTCAGCCTCCAGAACTTCAGTTGCTTCTCTAAGGCAATCATATAGCTCCTTCTATGCTCAAAGGAGAGAGAAAGGAGATCCAGAGGCTGAGGCTTGTCATACCAAGCCTTCTGTCTGAGCCACGCAGAGTGACTTCACCTTTGAAGAGGTGGATGGATGGATCTCAGCTGATCCTTCTGGCCTCTGTTCTGCCCCTCAGCTGCTTATCCATCCTCCCTTCTCATCATGCAATCACGCCCTGAAGTTCAAATGAGAAAAATGGTTATGAAAAGTAGGAAATATTTCAAAGACTCATTGAATGTTTGATGGAACTGCTTTGTCTCAACAGTCTATTCAAAGTGGGTTGTTTTCTGAGTCACGATGTCTGCTGAGACATATCAAGAACTTCAAACTATTAATTTCTAAAGAGTCAACCAACTTGATAACTGAAGCCTTTACAAGACAGACAGCTAAAAGAAAATAGTAAGAGGAGCAGTACATCCTCAGATGGCAGATGTGTTTGAAAGAAAGATGTGAATGGCTTTTATATTAAGACTAGTCAGAAATTTCAGTCACTTGATTTCATGTCAGATCAGTGAAATCTCTCCGGCTTTGACAATATTGCTTTTTTTTTTTTTTTCAATTGTGTGAGTACGTGAAGCCCTACAAATACGCAAAGCTCATCCATATAGCAGGAAGCAGGAGGCAGATCCTGTCTTTCTACCATTTTGACTTCATGTAAAAGAAAAGGCCCTTTTCCAGCCTACTGGCATGCTATTGTAATTCATTGTCTGCATAAATATAGCCTCTGCTGGATATTCAGTGCTTCTAAGAAGGAACCAAGGAAAATCATTTTTACCAAGGTCAAAGGATTCTGAAATGTTATCTAGAATCCATTCCCATGGTTACTGAAAAAGTGTTTTAGCTTGCTAGGCAGATTGTAAAGGAAGACTTATTAGCTGAGCAGCTCAAGCAAAGGGGTTTGAAGATCCATAGTAAAATTACATGAGAAGGAATTAACATTTTTAATGCAAAAAAGTGACTGTAAAAACTAGCAAAAATTATAAAAAACACCAATCTTCAAAATCTGGACTGAGTGCAATGTAAAAACTTGCTAAGTGTCAGAGATCAACAAAACCTTCCTCTCCAGCCCTGCACCTCTGATCTGAAGCACAGACATATTTTTGGGTTCTCATAAAATTTTTTATGAATCTGATTCTGAAATGTAGTTTCTAGAAACACTCCAGGGACTGACTTTGGAGGTTCCTGGGACAGTTTAGTCTCTCTCAGCAAAGATTCCTGCACACCTTAATGCCTATAAGTCTTTCACTCTTGCTAGCACAGGACAGCTTGAAACTCAGCATGCCTACAAGAGGACATTAATTTTCATAAGTTACTCCTGAACTGAACCCAATAAATTGTGTTTGAATGAAGTGGTAACATCATTAAAACCACCACTCCATATGCCATTTCATAGCAGTTATAAAACACGGAGCTAAAGTTTACAGATCTGATAATTTAGGACTTGTTAGACTTTCACATTTCTTGGGAAATGCAAATCATCACTTCCCAGTATGATAAAATTCGAATTCTTGCCTTTTTTAGGTTGTGTGCTATTAAACTTTTCATTTGCTGGCAGTCTACCATTGGTTGTTAACAAGATTTAGGCAATATGGTTAAAATGCAGGAATAAGGTAACCTAATATTAACTTATTTTAATTCACCCACCATCTGTTTTCAATCATTTTTATCTATAACAAATGGTGTCTAGAAGCCCAAAGCAATGTTCTCACCCTGTTGTGCTGAGTCCTGAGCAGATATGTAGCAAATCTCTACAGAAACTTAAGACCTAACAAATAAAACAGATAAAAGGAATATTGTTGCCCCATTTACAGATGCACAATGAATGTCTTGTAGTAAATTGTTAAAGGTATTGGAGTTATCTTTACATGACTGCAAGTGGTTGTGTTAACAAGTACTTTAGACCATAGCAATACTCACCCAGAACCTCCTTGCAATGAGGTCTAACTAATCCCACCTGGTTTAAGGTAACACCAGGAGAAGAGTGCCAGGTGCTGGTTGTTGGGCTGGCCACAACTGCAAAACAGCAATATCCACATCACTCACAGAATATGTTCCCAAAGGAATCTCCAGCTCTACCCAGAAAGTCTGTAGGCAGAGCACCTACTCCAGTGCTTTAACTTCAGAAAGGGTTGTTTTTTTTTCCTTCAGCTCATTCTACAAAGAGGTTGAAGACAGAAGATGAAGTCAAAGGAGGAGTGTATCTACTGCACTGCAGAATAGTCCATTTAGTTTTTGTTCTTATTTGGAAAGAAGTCTGGAAAAAAAAAAAGAAAGACTATTTATTTCTAACTCATCTTCTGCTGGCTATTTTCACATACTTCTACTATCTGACTTGGATGCTCTTATTTGACACAGTCAGAGCTCATAGCTCCTAGTTCTTGCAGGAAAATTGGAAAAAAAATGAACTCAAAAAGCAAACAAAAGTCAAATTAAAAGTTTTTTATTATTATTTTTAGATAGATAGATTGATTGATCAATCGATCAATCAATTGATCTAGTAACTTCAAAGACACAGAAATTGAAAAATCACTGATTTTTGTGTTTTGAACTTCTAGGTTTAGCAGTTCAGAAAGATGCTTCAGAAGAGTTAATATGGAAACAGTTCAGCTGGCAGCCCTTCACCCAGAGACTGGCATATCTTGTACTTATCAATTCCAAGAAAATTTCATTCCATGGAGAATTCCTCACGCCGCCTAGAAAATGACAGAACTGCAGAGCACAGCTGCACAGCTGTGGTAAGGCCCGATCCTGTCCGTGCAGGATTGGTTTCATGCTTTCATTTCCAGTGTTTTGGCAGCTCCGAGGTGCTCCTGCAGGCAGCCCCAAGGATAGGACTGAGTTATCGGCGCTGTGATGCACTGCGCAGTCCTGTCCATGATCCTGTGTTCTGCTGCATCCTGCTGGAGGACGGCGCGTAAACGGGGAGATGACAGCAATGCATCAGGGCCTGGGAAGACACTTGTGCTACTTTTGTAACTCAGCTTCTGGCAAAAGAAAAGCTTTGTCTCGGTTTACAGCCTGGCTTCTTTCCACAACGAAACCGAACCCCCTCCAAAGCAAAGACACAAGCTGTTTATGCAAAGGCCGTATGGGATATTTTTATGTAAAGGGTAACGTCTTAATGAAGCAAGGCAGGAGCACCGGCAATAAGTTTTGTTTCCACATGCAAAGCCCTACACGGGTGGAGGCAACAAGGAAGTGACTTGCTCCCAACATTGGCAAAACACACGCTCACAGCAGGGCAAAAGTTTGTAGGATTGTTCTCCTTTGGCAGCTTGGAGAAATACAGGCCATGGAGTCATGAGGTCCAGGGGACCGTAGAGTCATGGAATGGTTTGTGTTGGATGAGACCTCTAAAGATCATCTAGTCCTAACCCTCCTGCCACGTGCAGGGACACTTTCCGATAGATCAGGTTACTCAAGGCCCCATCCAATAGGACTTTGGACCAGATAGAAACTCATAAATTTGCCCCCCTGCCGGACACATACAATGCAGAGGAAAAGCCCTCGGCACCAAATGCTGTGATGTACCAAATGGCTTGCTAGCACAGACATTGCCAACATGGGCTGCAATGA